TGCCACAATTTAAAAGTATGGGAGGAACCTTAATTAGACCCGAACAATAAATAAGAATATTAACAAAATATAAGAACGTTACAAAACCACTTTTAGTTTACATATTGCCAGACGAATGGCTACCATTTCCGTTACTACTTGGTAGAGACTTTTTGAATAAACACAACATATCTTTGTACATGAATAAAAACCATAAAATAAATGAAGTGAATTTTGAGTTTATAGAAAATAATTTGGTTTTAAATAATGGGGGTGAGAAAATTAAGGAAAAGCAGGAAATAAAACTTAGCGGTAAGCAAAACAGTGAGGAGTATAGCAATTTTGCACCTTCGGCAACCCAGCTAGCATTTAGTGAAATTTGTAACATAAGCATTGATGATAAAGCATGCGTTGATACTGACCCTAAGTTACCTTCAGTTTGGGCGAATAAATTTAGAGAAATGATTGAAAAAACTTATGTAGAGAAACAGATAGAAGAACTCCCGGATAGTAATTATGAAGCGAAAATTGTGTTAACATCAAATAAATCAATCTTCTGCAAAGAAAAACGCCTTTCTTTCGGGGAAAAAACTTAAGTTAATAGTATCATTGAAGACTTCCTAAAAAAGGGCATAATCAGACGCAGTGACTCGCCTTATCCGTCACCAATTGTACTTACAAAAAAGAAGTCGGAAAAAACTCGAATGTGCGTGGACTATAGGAATTTAAACAAATTGATTGCAAGGGACAACTATCCACTCCCATTGATTGAATATTGTCTGGAATATTTAGGGGGCAATAAAATTTTTACCGTCATAGATCTTGAATCCGGATTCTACCATGTGAAAATGGCTAGCGAATCTATCAAATATACATCTTTCGTTATTCCCAACGGCCAATACGAATTCCTAAGAATGCCGTTCGGGTTAAAAAATGGGCCTGCTATATTTCAAAGATTCATAGCTACAATTTTGAGAAAATTTATCGATAGAAACGAAATAATTGTATATATATTTTTTTTTTTTTTTTTTTTTTTT